AACTCTGAAAATCTTCATATGATTGTGGTTGTTTTGGGATTCCATTTCTTATTTATTTGGTTATTTGGTTATTTGGTCAGTTACTACCTACTGCTTAATCCTTACCACATTATATTTTTTTGTGATATGTCTTTTAATTTGGTTAGTTTTGAAAAAAAACAAACTTGGTGCTATATAATAGCGAATTGGATATCATACTACATGACTCGAATTGGAATGCTAAAATTATGAGCAAATAGATCATCTATTAATAAAATACTGTGTAAAGTATATGGTTTGAAGCCGAAATATAGATGGGTCAAAATTATTATTTTTGGTTAGATTTATAATCTATATTATTGAAACAGAATCCCTATTAGTATTCAGTCCTTGACCACCCTTGATTATTACACCTAATGCCATCAAAGTTTCAAAGCAATATTGCCACTCATTAAGGGCTGTAATGTCTTTTGCTAAACACACCAACAAACTCATTATATATACATATTTTTTTTCTCTATCAAATAAATCAACCTTCACATATTATTATTCCATAAAAACAAATCTACCTTCTTTTGGTGCATTCTATTAACATTTTATAAATACTATCATATGTTATGGGCACTTTTTTTTTTTGTCAGCATGCGCACTTCATAAACGTGTATACAAAACGTATTTTTATATATTGTTTCTGTAACTTAAAACATATATTTTACCAAAAAACTTAAAATGTATTTAGATTTGCATACATTATGCTTACACAGTCCGATTTTATACTTGTCTATATTTTATTATTATACAAAACATTTGTTATTGATACATGACATTATATGAATAGATGTTTAGTAATGTTTGTTATGCAAAACTACACTAAAATCCACAAAATACGAAAATTAATAAACGCATAACTATATTTTGGTACAAAATATCTATCAAGTTAGAAAAACGTTATATATGTAAATTTTAAATAAATCCAAATCTTTCAAATGTTAAAACAAGTCAAAACTAACTTGGAAGGCCGTAAAAGCATTTTCTGTTTGCAACTCGGAGAAGCATCATATGATTTTGATTGTTTTAGGATGTCATTTCTTATTTTGTTGTTAATAAATAAATTACTCAAATCAAATTTTTACAAAGCTAATAAAACAAGTCGAAAGTTGTACTTATTAAATACTAGTAGTATGTCCGCGCTACGCGCGGATTGTTTAACATTTGTGGCGCGGATTGTTTGACATTTGTGTTATCAAATTTTTAAATTATTTTGTTGGTTTGTTGTATAAGTTAGAATTATGGTTATGTGTTTTACTATTGGTGTTTATGGATACGTATTCAAATAGTTGGATGCGGCTGACTGATGCAACTTCAATTAT